GGCAGCCCGCTGCCGCCCCGCAGCGGGGGCTCGCGCCGCCCTCCCGCCGACACTACAGTGAAGCGGCGGCCGACCATGAGGACGACCCCAACTTCTTCAAGATGGTGGAGGGCTTCTTCGACCGCGGCGCCAGCATTGTGGAGGACAAGCTGGTGGAAGATCTCAAGACCCGGGAGAGCGAGGAGCAGAAGCGGAACCGGGTGCGCGGCATCCTGCGGATCATCAAGCCCTGCAACCATGTGCTGAGCCTGTCCTTCCCCATCCGGCGCGACGACGGCTCCTGGGAGGTCATCGAGGGCTACCGAGCCCAGCACAGCCAGCACCGCACGCCCTGCAAGGGAGGTGAGCGCCGACCCAAACCCTTCGCGTCCTTCCCTGCGGCCCAGCCTGCCTGCCTGCCTGCCTGCCTGCCTTGGTGCCACTGCTCGGCCCAACCCTGGCGGGCACTGACCCCTCCTCCACATCCCTCCCAGCCCTCTCTCCCCCCCGGATGTGTCAGGCTCGGTTGAATAGTGATTTTTCCGCCTTAACTCAACCACGGAGTTGGTCCTGTCTCCCTCTCCCCTGAGGCATCTTCCCAGGCTTCTGCCTATGTTGATACTGTGTGCAGAGTAAACACTACACCGCTTTTTTGCTCCCAGTATGTGTGGCACACAGGGTGGATCCTGACGAAATTCACGTCTGGGAAAGGGAATGACCGGCGCATCAGATTGTGCCTCTTGAGAGTTTTTGTGGGCTTCTATGACTCACCCGAATGCAAACTATGAAAAAATTATTTTCCGATTTTTCCACTCGTTTTTTTTTTTTTTTTTTACATCATTGACAGATGATACAGGAACATACAAAATGAATTGTCTTCTGGGTTTGAAATCTAGACAGTTTCATTAACCAAATGAATTTACTAATTACACGTTGGTCTTTTAATTATTTTTCAGCACCTGTTATGTACAAAATTATAATAGGTGAGCAGTGTAACATCTCTGACAAATGAACACCGGGTGTCCTGGCAGTAAATCTAAAGGGTGTAGACTGCAAGGTGGCCCGCCAGCCAATGGAATGAAATAGCCCTGGGGGTGTGTACCGGTCCTAGCTAACACCAGATTTGAGCTCGGGGGAAAAGATGAGTACGTAAAGAAAGGAGTTGAGTTGGTTACAATTTGGTAACCACCAAGTTTTCCTGTACTTAGTTTGAAATTTTTAAATCTCTGTCGATTTAGCTTCTGCAGTCAGATTGCTTTCTTTGAGCAAATGAAAGCTTTTTTTTTTTTCTCGTTACCCCCTCCCCCCCAATAATTGCACAGTACACCTTTAAAGGTGCTTAAAAGTAACCTAAAATAGAAAAGGAGGTGAAAAGTCTTACTGGAGGTTGCCCGGAACTCCTAGGGCTGTGCATTTGGTCTTGATAAACCTGATTATGCTTTAGCGTTCTATTATACCAGCTGACTTCTAAGGATAATTTTTAGAAATCTATCAGAAACAACTGAGCTCTGCTGGCTTTCTCAGCCAGGGTACAAAGATTGCTTCAAATAGTTTAATGATTTAATTGCTAAATTTGCAATGACCCCACCTAATTCTAGGACATACCTTTAGAGCTTAATTATCTTCTAGCTCTTTCCTCTTCTAAAACCAACGTTCGAACCACTTTGACCTCTAGTTTCCCTTTCTAGCTTCAAAATGTACACAATTACTTTGCCTTCCTTCTTCCTACCACTCCTCTGTTCTCTAAACTAAGAATGCAAGTCGAGAATCCCAAGAAAAGCAAACAAGGATGTTGGAGAAAGAAGCCAAGTTAGCAAATATTAAATTGCAATGATTCTTTAAGTGAATGTCAAGTTCATATAACTGTTTTATTGGCAGTATTTCCCAGTCACTTAAAAGATATACAAATAAACCAGTATATTTGTTTTTTGGTTTTTTTTTTCTGCAGAATCCGATTTAGTCTGGAGATTCTTTATATTCTTCTGCTCTTAATATGGCAGGCTGTCTCCTATCTTTATAAATCACAACTCCACAAACAGTAAAATAACTAAAGTTTTCCATGGTTTGGCAGTCCTCTTCCTCTTGTTGTTGCCACAGCAGTTTTAATACTAAAATAGTGAACCTAGCAACAAAGTGCATCAGCCATCCTGAAGCACTTTTTATCGTAGACTTGCTTGTACTAGAGTGTAAGATACAATTCTCTGTTCGATTATCCTATTTACAAGAAGGCATGCTACCGAAAGTACTATTAACTCCCAGCATAGAAATGGAGAGAAACTGAATTGCAACTAATAAATAGTAGCAAGCATTGCAAGATAATATGAAAAAATTAGCTTCTATAAAGTGATAGGCTTATTCTCTTTAGGAATTTGAAAGACTGGAGAGAATAGGATTGGGAGGATTGTATAGCTATGAAAGCCCTTAAAAACATTTTAATGTGCTTAAGATAATGAACAGTATAAATAAATGATCAGCAAAAATGTGGATACTGTAGATTTCCATGCTTTGCTTTGGTGACACTCCAGGATCTTTCTACCCATTTATCACCTTCGCCTGATTGCAGAGAATGTATATTCTACAAGGAACTTACTTTAGGTGATTTTTTTCTCCAATTAAACATTTAAAGTTTGATTGTTGTTTTGTTTTTGATTTAAAAGAAAGTTGTGAACCTCCTTGGTTTCACTCTGGTCTTAGAAATACGGACTATATTAGGTAATTGAGATTTTAAAAGATGCTTTAGGTAGTCCTTATACACTACACTAAGTCCTTCCCTCTTAAAGCATACCTTAAGCATACTTAACACACCTTTTTCTCCCCACCCTCACTCAACTGTCTTCTTTACCAACGGTCACTGCCAAAAAAAAAAAAAAACCCTTGGCTGCCCCTCTTTATCCATTTCCCAACTCTCAGCTTTCTGTATGTATCTGATCTTTCCTCAAGAGCTACCTTATAACTGAGTTTTCTGAAATAAAATTCTCAAGGTTGAAGCAAAGCAGCAATTTAATTATAATTTAAGGGAAACGGGTGATTTTAAGACCTGGGGTGGCTGACATGTACTTTATTCCAAGTAAATATATAATATTATTTTTGTGCTGCTTTTTTCCCACATACCATATTTAACTGAAGCTATTTAGATTTGCATCAATTAAGGATCTGCAGAAGGGTTTGCAGCAGGCTCGGAAGGAAGGTTTTAAGGGAGGCCTTAATACTTTCAGC